TATCAGGTGTCCCCATTCTAATTCTCTATGTCTTTGTCCCTACACAGGTGGCTAACACCCTGAGGACACTGGTGATGACAGACTAGGCAGCACCCAATGCATGGCGCTTTCAGGAGGCCAAAAGGGAGGACAGGGCTTTGGGCTGGGTGATCTGAGTAGTTAGATGATGCCAGGCAGGGGGCACATGTACCTTTCTGGAACAAGGGGATCTCTGACAGGTTCTCGCTGCTGTGGGGGGAGTTGTTGATCTGGCAGCCCAGGCTGTCTGAAGGCGGGGCTGGAGTGCTGTGGTTTGGATGAGGAAAGCGTTGAACACAGCAGGGGCCCCGTGTCCCACTTGGCAGGGGCAGCAGTGCTCAGGGGTGGGCGGCCTTTTGGAGAGACTGCACCCCAACTGTTGGGTGTCCACCCTTGTGTGCCCATCCCCAGCAGCAGGACCTGTGGGGCCAGTGCGTACCTGGAGCTCACCTCCTGGGTCACCAGGCTGCCAACCAGGATGGGAAGTTCGATGGGCACAGAAACTCCTTGCTGGCCAGGCCTGGGGTCTGACCATGTGAGCACAACAGGCTTTACTGACGATGGCAGAGGAGGATGGGAGGCTGTTGACCAGGCTGGTGGCACTGTGGTTTGGCCCCCTTGGGGAGAAGCTGTTGGTGAGCCAAGCTCCTGGCTCCAGACCTCCCTTTTATTCAGTCTCCATCTTTCCTGTTGCCCCCTGATCTGGTTACACTGAAAGAAGTGGCCTCACCTCTCCACGGTGAGTTGGGAGTAGGGCAGTGTTTGCAGGTGTTGAGCTTCAGAATTCAGTGTGTTCACGCTCTCCGGGTCAGAGTCTGGGGCCAGTGTGATTTTTGCTGGGGTAATGTTGGGCAAGAAACTGTCCTACGGAGGAAGGAACAGGAACGGACACTCAGAAGACCTGGCCCTGGACCAGGTGACAGCAGAGGGTGACAAATGCACACAGAGTGATGCAGGCTGTCTCCCGGACTGGAAGCCCTAGAAGGGCAATGGGTTTGGGTCCTGGATCCGCAGGAGGAAGCTGCAGTTTGCTAGGCACCACCTAATGCTCTGGTCTCCTGGGAGGTCATCTGGGGCCATTTGTGAGATATCAGATGGCCAGTCTTGACCCTCAGATCCTGGTGCGGACAAGTGCCAGTGAGGAGTGCCTAGTGATGGGAACTTACTCAGGCTGGGCAAGGCGTGGGATGGGGTAAGGAGGAAAGGAAAGCAACTCCCTGGGGCACCAGCTAGCTGTCCTCCTCCCATCCCCCTGTGGGTGTCAGCCCCTCCCTGGCATATGTGCATACACCCAGGGCCCCAAGGCCACTTGGTCCATGATAGTAGTCTGCTCCAGCCCTGTGGGACTCAGTGGTCTCTTGGTGGTCCCCGGGAGAAACACATTGAGAGGATTTAGAAAATAAAGACAAGAGACAATAGCCGGGGTCAGGTGGAGTTACCTCTTGCCTGAGGAGCAGGGGAACTGATGAGCAGGGGCGTTTATTTTATACTCTTTGCAAAGTTAGTATCAGCAGAGGTAATGTTGCCTAGCGACTAACGACTGTAATTGTCCAGGCAGGGTGCCTTTTTCAATACTGAGGTAGCTTGACTGCTTGAGGCACTCTGGCTCTGTCCTGCCCTCACACAAATGACCAATAATCAACTCCAGCAGCTCCCAACGCAGCCCAGCCTCCTCCTGCTCTCCCAGGTGCACTTCACAGAGGCTGTACCGGTTTTCAGCAGGTATACTCCACAGGGGCTCTCCAGGTGCTGGGGACCAGCAGGTTGTACTCTGTGGAGGAGGGGTAGGGCTTGGCACTGGCCCATGGGTCCCCTGTGAGCACTTGGTGGGGCAGGGTGTGGGTCTTACCATTGATCATCTCCTCTGGCCCTGGATGATCTCCTCGCAGAGGTGGTGGTGCTGCTGCAGGTGGCTTAGCTCACCATCTTAAAAATATAATCTAAAGCCTGAAGCCCCTGTTATGGTTTGGGGGATATTTTGCAAGGGGAACAATATAATACAGGACACATTTTTATAAGATTATTTATAATAGTCACCCAAAGAATCATATACAAGAGAGTGCAGGAAATCTGTCCACACACCAAGACCAAGGAATCCAGCCGAGGGCCTGGATCCCACGAAAATGTCCTGCATGAGTCCAGCTGAAGATCTAGAGCTCCTAACAATGCCTCTCACAAGTTCAACTGGAGGCCTAGAGTCCGTAACAATATCTCATGTGGGCCTATTTCATGGATCTGCTTTGGGAAGGCCCAAAGGTCAGTGGTGGAATCTAGGAAGTCTGTGCCAGCAGAATGAAGGATCTGTGCTAGCAGGCTGAGGGATCTACATCCTGGAGCCAGGAAGTGATTCTCAGAGTAAGAACCAGAGCTCCCCTGAAAGGTACCATAGCCGTCCTCAGCAACAGTGAGGTCCTGAGCTCCTCCAACGATCAAGATGGCTGAGTTTCCATTAGGGAATCCAATGCAGCAAGCTTCTTCAGGAGCCTGAGCTGTGTACCTTCTTCCCCTCCGGAGCCAGAAAGCAATGCTCAGAGTGAGGACCAGAGCTCCCCCAAAGTGAACTGAAGCCATTCTCAGCAACAACAAAGTCCTGAGCTCCTTGGATTATGAAAACAGCCAAGTTCATCAGGAAAACCAGCATGACAAGCTCCTCCAACAGAACTAAAAGCTCCTTACAGCTTCTACCAGCTCCCAACAGCCTCTATCTGTTCTCAACAGCCTCTTTTCTTCCTCTCCAGTTCTGCCTCTTATGCTGCTGGCAACAATCCCCAGGTGGGCCTCCCACACCCAGCACCATGCTTACTCAGTTCAGCTGGGGGTTATAAATTGACCTCGAGCTGTCAATCCACTACACCCCCCAGATCCCTGTTTCTACAAATTTCCCTCCGGTAACCACGAAATGTTCCTGTGATCTTCTGCTCTGTACCTAAAACTTTCCCTAAGTGTAGAATGTAACCACTGCTCCTGCTGTGCCTGGACCTCCCTCACTTTCCCAACCTCAGAGGACGACAGCACTTGCTACACTTCTGCCTCTGTAAAGTGCTTTGGCAAAATTCTACTCAGGTCCTCTTTCCCTTCCCTATTAAAACAGAGATAACCACCCCCACCCCATTGCTCAGAGCCCAGAATTTGTAGAGCTTATCTCCTCTGGGCCAGAGCTGCTTAATAAAGAGGCTGGTTTTCTCTACTTCCAGCGCCTGCTTGGTTTTTTGACTTGTAATTCCTGATTCTCACAATAGGAGCAGCTCATGGGGGCGTGTCTGTTTTCTCCACCTGGAGCTCATGTACTGAGCACTTCGCACTGCTTTTTAGAGCTCATGCACTGTTGTGGCAGTGTCTCCTGCAGGTGTCCGCACCACCTGTGCAGCTCCCAGAAGCACTGGGCCAGCACCAGGCCATGGCCACCTGCCCTGCTGGTCCTCGCCTACTGAAACCCCTGCTGAGGGTATCAGTCTAACCCACCTGGCAATATGGCACATGGATGCAAAAGAAAGAAAAAGAGAAAATATTCTGCAGCTGAGGAACTCTGGGATGACCAATGTTCTCTGTGGAACAAAAGGCCTTGTCTCCAAAAGCTCATGACTTTTGTTGGTATCAGTCAGGGGGCTGGGTAGGGGTGGTGGCAGTGTATAGGGAAAAAACTTTGTAGCCGTATCAGGCACAAAGGCCTCCAGTTAGGAATACACCTTTCCTGTCAGGAAGTTTTTAATTTTTTCCAAGTCCCATGGCCTCAGCTGTAATGTTGTCTTAGTCCTAGAATCTCACAGGCTTGTGCTTGAGCCCCCATTCCAGCCGTCAACATGGAGGCTATTTTCGCCTTTGCTACTAATGAGACCACTGGTGCCTTGGCTGGACTTGATAACATCCTCTTAGCCAATTAAGGAACATTTGCTTCAGTATAGCCAGCTCCGATCTCAATAAATAAGGTTGAAGGAGAGGTCAGAGACAGATTGTCACAAAGGCTTTTTTTTCAGGAGAGAGCCTGGCCTCCCACACTTGTCCTTCTAGCTCCCAGACTTGCTATCTAGCAGACACTCCATGCCAACCCCCAGGAGGTGTATCTTGGACCTGGTAACCAGGGGCTGTTCCAAGGTGGCCCTCTGCCCACTTCCTTGCTTCCCCGACTATCACCCACTGCTGGAGCCAGCTCGGTGGACATCTGCTCAACCCCCACCCTGTGACACCCTCAGGGCTCCTAATACCCTCAACCCCCTCTGGTATGAGTATGCCCCAGAAGGGAAAAATCTGTCATACAGAAAGCCACATCATGTCAGCTATCATGCTTTGAGCCCTGGGCATGTTTCAGGCATTAATTTAATCTCTCCAAAGACCCCATGAGGGCTGTATCATGACTATTCCCATTTTACAGATAAGAAATGTGAGATACAGAGGGGTCACTCAGGGTTTGTAGCCTGAGCTCCAAGTCACCCTCCTTCCCTGGCCCCCAATCACTTCTTCTCCCCTGTCCTCTCCAAGCCATTCTCCTTGTTCAGCTGCTTTTGCTAGACCTCAGGGCGGCTTGAGGACATCTGGTGGGTCATTGCTTGTGTCTGAGTCCTTACTGTTGTCCCTGGTTGTGAGTGTCTGCTGCACTCGGGGCCCGGGGTAGAGGCACACATAAAACCAGGACACAGGGGATGCAGAGCAGCAAGAGCCAAGTTTGCAACTGCAACTGCATACTGAAGTTTATTCTGTAAGAAGTTTTATAGCATACAAGTGTAGTTTTTCAGATAACATATGAGTACATACCGAGCCAAGTAATTGTTTTTCTGACAGTCTGT